CCCGACAGATCTCGAGCTGATTCAAGCCTTTATAGTCCGTGAGCTCACGAAACACGGGTTGGATATCATAGTCACGTGTTTTGCTAAACTCTTGGACCACTTCCCGGCCATCGATGGTGTCGTTTGTAATTATACATTGCATTTCATTTATCTCTTTGTAGATCGCGTTGTCATTTAAACCAAGAGTTGTTTCTATCAATCCTTCCAATAACTCTTTGTCGCTAACACTTTGGCCATCATTCGAGTCGTTGATACTGTTGTCGTCACTCTCTATGTCTTGATTTTGTTTGAGTTTGTTTTTGATAATCATTTGCTTTCGAATTCTGTTTTGTTCTTCATTTCGGATGAATTCCTGAAAAACATTATTAGAATTGAATTTTTTAAAAATATAAAACAATTTTAAAGATACTTTTTTCATTCCAACGGCAAAACACTTATTAAGTCTGCATTTTTGGCACAACTTTCTCGTCGACCCATTTATTAGACATTTGTTTTCTGACTTACATTCGAGTGTCTGTTATAACAAGTATTATAAATACCAATAAATATTTAACTTATTTAAAAAATTAATTAAAATATTACAGTATTTTTTAGTGCTATTCTCCTAAAGAATTCTTTGCATGATTTACAAGTAATTGCAGCGAAATTTCGACCTTTATTTTGGGTAAAATTGCATTATATTTGCATTTTAATAATTGTATTACAAAATGTAAATATAATAATTATTTTAAATAACATAGCTCATACCAACTCCTTTGCTTTCACCACAAACTTCACACATTTTATTTGCATTTTTATTATTAGACATATTATTTTGAAAACTATTTAAATATTTATATAAAAATTATAAACATATTAATTAAATATTACCACAATATTTACAACTGTTAAGTAAAGTCACAATTATTATCACCAAAACCAATGGCAACACAAATGGTAACTATTGTGACAGTGTTTGACAAATTTATTGTTTCGCATGTGTTTTAAATAGTAAGTCAAATAATAGTCGTACAATTGCTACTCGCAATACAATTAGGGTACTTTAATGATTTATGAACATTAATAGGCTAAAGTACTGTTGTTATACAATAAGAGCAAATACATCGGGAGAAATACCCTGATAGCCGCAATTATATTGTCTTTATATAAATGATTTGTATTATACAACTTGTATATTATGAAGTATGTAAGTTTAGGGCAGTCAAGGCTATCATGATCTTTCGCCAGACTTATACAAACCACAGGTTAGGGAATAATAATAGGCTATTAATATCATTAATTGCTTAATAATAATAATCAATTAAATCAAATTAATTGCTTATGATGTTGTTTTTATATAAGGTTCTCACAAAATAGTTTAGTGTATTGATCGGCCACTACTCTGGAACTGTTAAAGTGATGATATTGTAATTTCACGCATATATAACATAATATGTTATAACATTTCAACTATAAATTTTGATTGAACTAGTGTATTTATAACTGAAATTAATCTAGGTGTACTCTAATATTAATGTTTACTGAAACTAAAACTTTACATGACAATCGTATATATTATTGAACATTTTAGACACAATAATTAATAATAAATTTCTAAATGAATCAATTTACGTAATACAGGCATAAAACCTGTTTAAAATAAATTACTTAATTTTACATTAATATTTAACAACTACTGTAATCTAATGGTATATAAACTGAATAAAATGCCACATAATTTCAGTTAATTTTGTACTTTAGTAGAAATAAAATATCATAAAATGCTGAAAATGTGTTCGCACTGTAAGTATTCACTAAAATGCTAAACAATTGTAAAAAATTATAACATGTGCTAAATTATACAGTGAGTGTAGATACAGAATATATCACAATTAGTGTGGGCCGTACTCTTGCCAATATAACCAAGGTTATGACTGTACCAAGATTAAATAAATCAAGTGTTACACCACTTATAACTCGAGCAAAAGATCTAGGGCTTAATGTCACAGATCGGGTCAACACCATACGTAAAAAGGTACATGCTATTTTGCGTATAGCCTTCGAAGATATAGTGTTGCCTCCGCTTTGCGCAACCAATTCGAGTACAGCCCCACTGAAGGTCGTGTCGGCGACACAACTGAATACATCGGCTGATAGTCGCAAACCGGAGTTACAGGCGTTGGTTAACACACATCCAGAGTGCGATCCAATCGGTGGACAAACGAGTGGTGGAAACGATGCGAATCGGGCGCCAAAGAAGTTGCGCAACCAATTGGACTAAAATTGGACGATGAGTCTACCGGTGAGAAAGTCACAGCAACATAAAATGCTAAAAATTGTAGCTCTGGTTGTAATGTTGGGGTATGTGTTGGCCGATTCGCACAGTAAGTATTAATTTAAACGCTAATCAATTGATAATTATTAAAACAAATTCTATATTAAACAGTGAGAGACGTCTCTTCAGAGCCCATCGGCGGCGATAATGAGGCAAAAGTGGACCGAATTGTTGACAAATTAGCCAAATATGTCGAGGATAGCCATGAATGACCCGAATCTAAATAAATCATTTGTGTTGAACAATAAAACAATTTGACGGACAGTCCTGAAAGCCGTGTCCGCCAAACTGAATACAGCACCCGATAGTCGCCAAACCGGAGTTACAGGTGGTTAACAAAGCTCTTACCAACGCCTGTAACTCGGGTTTGCGACTATCGGTGCTCAACGACAGCGACAGCACCGGCGAGAAAGCAATACAACTGAAACGGTTTGACATATAGAAGTATCTGACTTGAGATAGATTTGTCAAAAAAGTAATACAATTAAGCATTTGTCCCAAACTGTGTGTCAATTGTAAGCGTAGGTAACTCTAGAATTAAGACAATCAGTTGTTAGAACAAGGTTATTTCCAAAACTTTGAATGGTTTAAAATTTTTGTGTAATTTACTAAAATTTTACAAATTAAAATTATATAAATTATTTGTTTATTTAAAATTTTAACAAAATAAAGTATAAATTTCATAAGCATTATAAATATTATATATTAAAATAAGTATTTTAATAATATTTAATAAGTAGAAAAATATTATAAACACAGAATCCTTTTACCAAATAAAATATATGTATTCCTGAAAAAATGTTTCTTCTCTCTCTCTCTCTCTCTCTCTCTCTCTCTCTCTCGCTCTCCTCAGCACATACTGTTGTGATACATTATATATACGTCATTTAAAATATGGTAAATATTTAGATAATAATACATGCTAGGTAATAATTAAACTGGATTATTAAAAACTCATTCTCAATAAAGAAAAAAAATTGGTTAAATAAGTTCTCTCTCTCTCTCTCTCTCTCTCTCTCGTCATAAAAACTAATTTTACAATCAATAATAAATTATTTTCATGTGGCATACATTGTTAATAAATTAATTTACCATATTTTAAATGACGTATATATAATGTATCACAACAGTATGTGCTGAGGAGAGCGAGAGAGAACTTATTTAACCAATTTTTTTTCTTTATTGAGAATGAGTTTTTAATAATCCAGTTTAATTATTACCTAGCATGTATTATTATCTAAATAATTACACAATTAAAGTAAATTATTCTAATATTTTATAACCAGAATAACGTTTACATTATACCATAACTACCCTTTTTTTGTATTTTGTGAACATTTCTTAATTTCTGTATGTGTGGCAACGCTATTACTAGATCTATAAGTCATAGACCTCTTTAACAAGCGGTCCATAGTTTTGAATATTTTCTCGTATTTCTTCCGTTTCATTCATTTTATGGATTTCACTACAAATTCTCAATTCTTTCAATGAATTCATTAGTCGTTGAAGTTTTGTCTCCGATTCATAATTGGACCCGTATTTCAATAGTAGATATCTTTGCAGTAAATATATGTATAATTGCTGTTCGAGTCTAACAAACAATTTAAACACAATTAAAATTATAATTAAATATCAGACTTAATGCTCACTTGACATAACGCCTGCACTTCAGGTCCCGACGGTTGGGATTAAACAGTATTATTGTCATCAGCTGTTAATCAAATACACATTTCATTATACATGATGATTAGTAATGAATAATAAATAAAATAGTTACCAAATAAATAATGATAAAATCATGATCCCATACATCACTTAGATTAGTATAAAATATTGTAAGTAAATCAAAAATATTCCGTTTATTTACTTTAACACTATCTAGATCAAATATTATTGAATTGTTGTCGTCCTATAGATATACAGTATAATGCAATTGTTAAAATTAAATACTAATGAAATTTTAATAAATTAAAAACAGTATTGTGTGACTTACCAAGCTCATATTGAACTTCATGCTTTGTTCATTGAACTGGGTAAATATTTTCAGCGATGACAATTCAACGATCGAGTTCTTGAATAGCGAAAGCTGATCATCAGGTGCTATACAAATGAACGAGTTTAACATGTTGGTAAATTTAGCAAACTTTTCAATCACCCACTCGTATCGGTTTCTCATTAATTCATATAATTTTGAGCTGTTTTTTACAATTACAATATTTTTTGGCACCGATTGTGTCATCAAATCTTTCAACACTTGGGATGCGGTCAACAGCTCCGACACCCGACACATCTCGAGCTGATTCAAGCCGTTATAATCTGTGAGCTCTCGAAACACGGGTTTAATGCCCCGTATTTTACTGAACACCTGAACCACTTCCCGGTCATCGATGGTGTTGTTTGTGGCCATACATTGCATTACATCAATGTCTTTGTGAAGCTCGTCGTCACTTAATTCAATAGTTGTTTCAATCAGTTCTTGCAGTAAGTCTTTGTCGCCAATACTTTGGCCATCATTTGAGTCGATGATAATATTGTCAATACTGTTATCGTCACTCTCTATGTCTTGATTTAGTTTGAGTTTGTTTTTGATAATCAATTGCCTTCGAGTACTGTTTTGCTCGTCATTTCGGATCAATTCCTTAAAAATAGTAAAAAGTAATTTTAAATTATGTTTCAAAATATAATATCTTATTATATAATATATTATATAACATAAGATATTAAAATTAAATACTTTTTTCATTCCGACGACAAGACACTTATTAAGTCTACATTTTTGGCACAATTTTCTCGTCAAACGATTTATATTGCAATTGCAATTTGACGGACATTCAAGTGTCTGTTATAATGAAAATTGTAATTATTTAGTTTATTTTTAAATAAATATAAATTGAATTTATATAAAATATTACATTATTTTTAAGTGCAGTCCTTCTAAAAAATTCTTTGCATGATTTACAAGTAATTACAGAGAAATTCCGCCCTTTATTTATGATAAAAATTGCATCAGATTTACACTCAAATAATATTATTAAAATTTATACGATTTGAAATGTTCAATTATAATTTATAAAATTATTTTAAGCAATAGATTTCATACCAACTCCTTTATTGTCTCCGCAAACTTCACAGAATTTATTTTTATTTATAAACATTATATTAATTAAAACACTATTTAAAAATTTATTTATTTATAAGTTATAACTAGCTATTCTGGATATCAATACAATATTTACATTTGTTAACTATATTCCCGATTATTATCACCAAAACTAATGGCAACATAAATGAAGTTAAAGACAAAACGTTTAACTAATTCATAAATTATGATTTCATATGTGGATTAAATTGCGACTTAAATGGTATAACAGATTTGCAAATTCACGTAACAAATATGGTATTTTAATAATTTTATAAATTATAATTTGACGATCGTAGGTTAATTATGAATGATTTATTTAGATAACCATAATGTTTAATATTTTAACAATATTTATGACATATTAATACAATGATAGCTATGAATAGATATTAACAATTATTATATTATTATCTGTTGGTTATATCAGACAATATTATAAGTCATAGACCTCTTTAACAAGTGGTCCATAGTTTTGCAAATCTTCTCGTATTTCTTCGGTTTCATTCATTTTATGGATTTCACTACAAATTCTCAAATCTTTCAATGAATTCATTAGTCGTTGAAGTTTTGTCTCCGATTCATAATTGGATCCGTATTTTAATAGTAGATATCTTTGCAGTAAATATATATACAGTTGTTGTTCGAGTCTAACAAACATTTAAACACAATTAAAATCACAATTAAATATTAAACTTATTGCTCACTTGACATAATGCCTGTACTTCAGGTCCGGCCGGTTTGGATTAAATAGTAAAATTGTCATCAGCTGTTAATCAAATACACATTTTACTATATATTTACTATTATGATAATGAAATAGTTACCAAATAAATGATGATAAGATCATGATCCCATACGTCACTTAGATTAGTATAAAATATTGCATTTAAATTAAAAATATTCCGTTTATTTACTTTAACACAATCCAAATCAAATACTAATGCATTTTTATCGTCCTACAAATATATATAACATTTGTTAATAAAAGTAAAAATTCATTATTGATTAAATTTTAACAAATTTAAAACAGGAACTTACCAAGCTCATATTGAACATCATGCTTTGTTCATTAAACTCGGTAAACATTTTCAGGCATGACAACTCAACGCATGAGTACTTGAATAGCGAGAGCTGATCATCAGGTGCTATACAAGTGAACGAGTTTAACATTTTGGTAAATGTAGCGAACTTTTCAATCACCCACTCGTATCGGTTTCTCATTAATTGATATAATGTTGAGCTCTTTTTCACGATAAAAATATTTTTGGGCACCGATTGTGTCATCCAATCCTTCAACACTTGGGATGCGGTCAACAGCTCCGACACCCGACACATCTCGAGCTGATTCAAGCCGTTATAATCTGTGAGCTCTCGAAACACGGGTTTGATATCGTAGTCACGTGTTTTGCTAAACACTTGAACCACTTCCCGGTCATCGATGGTGTTGTTTGTGGCCATACATTGCATTACATTTATTTCTTTGTGGATTTCATCATCACTTAAATCAATAGTTGTTTCAATCAGTTCTTGCAATAAGTCTTTGTCGCCAATACTTTGGCCATCACTTGAGTCGTTGATACTATTGTCGATAGTGTTATCGTCACTCTCTATGTCTTGAATAAGTTTGAGCTTATTTTTGATTATTAATTGCCTTCGAGTCCTGTTTTCCTCATCGTTTCGAATGAATTCCTTAAATAATTAGAAATAAATAATTTTTTTTAATATAAAATTATTTTTAAATACTTTTTTCATTCCAACGTCAAAACATTTATTAAGTCTACATTTTTGGCACAACTTTCTTGTCGACCGATTTATATGGCATTTACTTTCTGCGGGACATTCAAATGTCTGCAATTAAATTATAATAATTATTTAATTTGAATAAAAAATATTTTATTTAATCAAATATTACAATAGTTTTCAATGCAGTTCTCCGAAAGAATTCTTTACATGATTTACAGGTAATGCCAGCAAAATTTCGGCCTTTATTTCATAGAGAAATTACATCAGATTTTTAATTACATAGTTTTTAAAAATAATTATTTTAATCAATCAGATCTCATACCGACTCCTTTGTTGTCTCCGCAAACTTCACACAATTTGTTCACACATTTATTAACAGACATATTATTTTAAATACTATTTATCTAATTATATGTGTATTTATTTATTATTAAATCAGTGTTTTGCAAGTATTAAGTCAATTGCCGTTTATTATCATAAAACTAATGATAACATAAATAAAGTTAAAACTGAAACTGTTATACAAATTCATAAATTATGATTTTATATTTTATTTTAATTTGACCACTTTACAATTACTATTTATATAATTCTGTATACTGTAGTTATGCTACATTCATTAATGTTTGTGTAGTTGTATCCAAGGCTAAACACATTAACTAAGTATTATATAATGATTGACATTATAATTTTTACTACCTTCATGATTTATGTACCATTATTAATACAATGTAAAATGTGATGCAACATTTAGTTGGTTTGAAGCAACTAGTTATTAAATATTGAAACAAAATAATAGAACAAAAATATTACTTTTATAATTAATTTATCACATTATCATAGATTATTGAAGGGATTAATTAAAATTTATTAAATATAGCTATGATTTTACTAACAATTAAAAGTATTAATAAATAATAATTTATTTCAAATGTCAATAAGTATTCCTAACAAAGTAGTGTAACATTTAATTATTATTTACATTAATTTATACATATAATAAATTTTAGTTTATTTCATATTTTGTTAATTTTAATAGAATATATTTAAATGTAATTAGAAATAATAAAACAAAAATTTAAATAGTATTTAAAATGTTTACAATTCATGGATCTCTCGGGAAAGTTGCCCGAAATCATGAGCCAATTCATGGTTTTCATGATTTACACACATTTTGTTGTGTTTATGTAATTCTGTGGCAATTCTCAGATCTGTTAACCCAGTCATCAGCGCCTGTAGTCTTGTCTGCGATTCCGACGGGTATTTCAATAGTAGATATCTTTGCAGTAAATATATATACAGTTGTTGTTCGAGTCTAACAAATTAATTAATTAAATACGAGTAAATATACAGTAATATAAACAATAAAATTAATTTTTAATGCACTTACTTAATACTAACTTTATGTGTCAGCCCCTTGCGATTAGGATTAAATAGTATGATCGCGGTCAACTATGTAAATACTAAAATTAATTATCACGATTAATAGCAATTAATCAAATAAAATGTACCAGGTTGGCAATAATCATATCATCATCAAAATTGGGCACAAATTTATCGGCAAACTTCTTGAATAAATAGTAGACATCGGTTTCGCTGTCCTGTAATAACATCTGTATATTTTG